TCCCGCAAGTCTGAAAGTACAACTCTCCCCCCATCTCCTTTACAGCCTGAGAAACTAGGGAAGGTCCCTTCTGAGCCTCTTGCTCCACCTGCTATGCAGCTCTGGGCCCAGCTTCCTCTTATCTGACCATTCCCTTGGCAACATCTCTGGGCCCAGTCTCCCAAGGTCATTCCCGCATCCCATTACACAAACGTGGAGGCCACTTGGAGAGAACCCCTCTTCCCGCTAAAGGCGGCCAGCCCCATCAGACCCATGCAGCCCTTTTCCTGACCCTGTTCTCCCCACAGCCGACAGGCCCCCAGTACCGATTCCTGTGCCAGCAGCAGTTCCCACTCCAAGTCCTTTGACCAGTTGAAGTGCGGGCCGTATCTCTGCAGCAGCGACGGGGCTGACTCTGTCAGCATCACCTCGGCGGGCTCCAGCAGCTCCGACGTGGAGGAGATCAACATCAGCTTCATCCCTGATTCGCCCGAGGGTCAAGAGAAGAAGGTACAGGACCACGGCTCGCTGGGATCCACTCGTGCCCAGGGGGTCAGGCGGCAGGTGCGCCCCATTTCAGGGGGGAGTCTTGGATATGGGTGGGCTTCAGAGCATAGGGGAACTGAGATGCTGAGCGGGAGATCAGCTGGGATCCAGAAACGTTCTTCTTGGTGCCTTGGAGAGATACGACAGGGAAGTAGTGCCCGGGAAAAAGGAAGATGTAGTGAGACGGGCAGTGGCAAATTTGAAACGCAAATAAATAAATAAGAGGCTGTTTTTCCCGTCAAGGGTTAGAGATGGCTTGGGGAGGGGCTCTGCATCCAAAACATCAATTTTCCCAACTTCATCCTTTTCCTCCTGGATGTTGAGAGATGGGTCTTGATGTAGGCACCACGAAGACCTCTTGAAGCAAGGACGTGAGTTAGACAGGCAGATGCTGAGTGATTACACAGTCAAGGTTATCCTTCCTTTCTCCCGCCTGCACAGTTTTGGGAATCCACCTCATTGTGCTCCTTGGACACGTCCGGCATCGGCTCAAGTTCAAGCAGCGCTTCGTCGTCCTCTGTCTCCTCCACGCCGGTGACGGTGTCCCGCACGCACAAGCGCTCCGTCTCGGGCATTTCGAGCTATTCCTCTCTCTCGTTACCCCTCTACAACCAACAGATCGATGACTGCTGCATCATCCGAGTCAGCTTGGCGGTGGATAATGGAAACATGTATAAGAGTATTCTGGTAGGTGCCCCGTCTTTGCAGAACTTAAGGCTTGGCAACGTTGGGATAACACTCTACCACCAGATCGAAGTGTCCATTTCCCGATGAGACCGTTGGGCTGAGGGATGGTCCTGAGCGATGAAACCCCTTTGGAACCACAGCTAGTGAAAATCCTTAGTTCTCACTTCCTCTTCTTGCACACCCACACACCCAGCCTTTGCATTCTCTTTCCAGGACGGTGGTTAGGGTTTCCATCCGCAGAGACGTTCTAGTCAAACCTTCGGTCAAAGCACAGTTAAATCTGCAGGGATTAACTATAACGTCAGACGTTGAAGAACTGGCAGTCGCTGGAAGTCAGGCGACATATAAATTTAATAAATAATAACCTTTGACTTGGTTGATTGCTCTTCTCGAATGCTGGGAATTGGGCAGCCTATACATTTAATGAATAATAATTATTATTATTATCTTTGATGACTTGGTTGATTGCTCTTCTCAAACGTTGAGAGTTGGAAGGCATATGAATTTAATAAATTATTAGTATTATCTTTGATGAGTTTGTTGATTGCTCTTCTCAAATACTGGGAGTCGGGTGGCATA